CAATTAACATAACGGCATCCACTGATTCTAAAATAACTTTTTGCATATGCTTTTGTTTAATGTTCCCATGTCCGTGACCCCTTAATTATAACTGTTAACATAACGCATGCGCAACATACGATGGCGGTATACAATACCTAATACTACGAAAGTCGACTACTTAAAAACCAACTGTGAAATTTCATGCAGGTGCTTCGATATATCAATAGATCTCGACATTCGTGACATTAACCTGATACATGTTATAGATTACATCACACGCAGTAATCATGTCAGATTGACATAAAAATCTATGATAGGAAGTCAGATAATCGCGTGAAATCTAGAGTATTACTATAAATAAAGCAAATGTTGTTAACGCATGACTAGCGGGCCTGCTATCGTGCTAACATGAAACATATCAATACATGTTTGGGTATTTTATAGCATATGTAAAATTCAACCTACCATTCGAGACGAAATAGCTTTGTGCGATGCATAATTTTTATGTTCTCTAATGTCATTATCACCATGACGTGACCAAATTAACTGTATAGAAAACTTACTCTTTGAACGTTATGTGTGTGTTTAATAATAATTTGAAGTGAGAGTTATAGTACTGTTATGAACTGTTATACAACAATAGATCTTAAAACTTTTCTCTGTGAATATTCGTGGCTAGAATGTGTAAGAGAGAGGAAAAGTCTCTACGAATAATGCAGATAAATATATATTTTGCGCTAGGTTTCTTACGGGGTGAACAGAGAGAATAGAACGAACACTATGCTTAATTGCTTTGTTCGTGCACTTTTATAATTCATCTCAAACAATTGCAGTTTTGCAGTTAACACAAGTATATGCAGGTTTTCATTTCTTTCAGTGTTCAATTAATAATCAATCAATCAAATATAATGTAAAACTTTATAAACCCTTGCCTTAAGGTGTCATTTATTGATTTATTCAATAAATTTATTACATTTATTTTTATATTTCGTTTTCAAAATGATAGTAATCTCTAGTACAATCAGACAAGTAATAGAATTATTATTCAGTGTTCTTTCATTTTCATTTTTCGAATTATTCAATTTTTAATTGTTAGCAGACGACTGCCATTTTTCATCTGATGTTCAATTATTTGCCATTCCCTTTAGTAATGAATAAAAATACTTATTTGTACGATGTAATATACTCATAACTTTATATAAACTGCGAAGTCTATGTTAGTGAAAAGTAACAAGCTATTGCATTAAATCAAACAACTGGATTGAATAGAGAACTGCATTCCTAAAATTCTAGAGCAATCAAAGACTACACGCTATTTAAAGGACATTGTTATCTATACTATTGATCAGTCATCTATCAATCAACCAGGATCTGGTTTTGAAATATACGAAACCTAACCAGAGTGTGCTGAAAATGTTTTCAATGTCTATATTTTAAGATTTAATTGCTGTAAATTTAGAAATATACAGCAATAAAATAAATTGAAATAAAATAAGTTTAATGCCAATATAAAAAAATTGTGATGGATCACATTTTTTTTTTATATTGACTTTAAACCGGAAACAAATTGTTTTTAATTTGCCAAATCGAATTTAGTTACAAAAAGGTTAGTTACTATCTAAGTAAAGAAACACATAGATTTTCTGAAATAAAATATTCCAATACATGAAGAGTCGATCGTGAATTTAAAATATTCCAATCAGAAAGTAATCGTGTATAATGATTTTTTATAACATTGGTAAAGGTTTAATCGCATTAATGAAGCAGTGAAAAATTGATAGCAATCACGTGTGCATAATATAATACGTATGTAGATAAAGTGAAACTGCGTTTTAATGAAGTAAAAATAGTAGTAGCATATTCACAGTTATTGTTCAACGTTAATTTTCAAAGTTGTTAGTATTTTATAAATTTAGTGATTAGTAATGATGAAATTTGTCTGTTTTACACTTCAAACATTGATCAAATTGTAATAGATTTACGTGATCTCAAAGACCATTATAGTGATTTCAATAAATTTTAAAATAGATCTTTTATCGAAGCATTTAATCAACCTCTTTAAATTGACTCTGTCCCAAATGATATCTATAAATTTAACGTATACTGTATATATTCAAATTAATGATGTGATTTAGGAAATAAGAAAACCAAACAAGAAATAAATATGCAAAAATTTAGCTATATTTAGAAAAATAAAGAGAAACGTGCAATAGGAAGGAGAAGAGAAAAATTGTTTGTTTGTTCATCATTATATTCATATAACCGTGTGATCCCGACATTAAAAATGACTTATATATGACATAGAAATAGAAATGTGAGATGTGACTGAGAAAACTTGATCTTCGAAGTATGGGCAACAGCATCTCCCTCAAAATATCATCAAAACCCTAACTGTGGTTGCTAACCCGTCTGCTAACCATAACCAACAGACAAAACCCCCAATTGTAGAAGGCTTATGTTCAGTAGTATGATGAGAAAATACGTGAAATAAACTAAAACATAAATACAAAAATGTAACGCGGATATTGAATCATTCAAGGAGTTTTTGTAACTCTATTATGCCTCATAATAGAACTCGACCTTCTGATATATTTTGGTTACTTAACAATAAACGTAACATCGTTTACACAATTTACATGAGCATGTAAATTATATTTTCAAACAGGAGATCTTTAAATCATTTAGATAGGTTCAGTTAATTTATATCAAGAGCAACGTATTTATTTAGATGTTCGTAAATTATTTACAATAGTGTTTCACTTTTGTTTAATTATAATTAACAATATTTTAAACATACTGTAATGAAACCGCTACACGTAAATACATTAAGACAATAAGTAATTTGCATAAACAAGTGAGAGAGTTTTGCCGAAAAAGTTGATCTTTCTATTTTCTGCGTCAATTTCTTTATTCATTATTAGAGAAGTTTGTTTATTGTCGATTTAAAAAGAACTGTTATTTATTTTTTAAATGCAAAGAATATGCAAATACGAGTACGTGAATCCTAAGTGAGTATTGCGGGCCCATATAAGGATTACCAAAACAATTGAAAATGTTGTTCAATCAATATGCCGTAATGCAATATTTTTCCAAAATGTAGCAAATTATTATAATACTTAAATTATTATTAATATTCGCTTCTTACGACACAAACATATACTATATAATATACGAAGGGAGGGCGAGGGATTGACAGCAACGTCCTTCTTAAAACTTCTCTAAAGCCTACCTACGGTTGTTAATCCGTCTGCCATTTGTGGCAAGTACTGGCAAAACCCCTCGAAGAGGAGGCTTATAAGCAGTGGATAGTTAAAGGCTGATATGATGATTATGATGAATATAGTGTATGATATCACACATCTTAAAAGAAAAGTAAAAAATAGTAGCTTGATTAATGTTGTATTAATGAAAGGGGTTTTTTTTTTGTATTTGATAGTTATGAGTTTTTGTATTTGATAGTTTGTAGATATGAGGGTTTACGTCAGACAGGCGGCCGGTCGTAAAACTAAGCCAAATCTTTTTGTAACATGAATAAAAAACATATTACGCCGACCCCATATAATAATTGGGATACGGGTAGAAAGAAAAAGAAGCTCTTGTACAAGAAGAGTTTACTCTAAATTTAAAATATGAATAAAAAGGCTTAAAAGTAAATTACTATCCTAAGGAAGTTCTTTTGCTTAATTTTTCAAACAGTATTTATTAACTATGGTCGTTTTCCGAATTGTTTACTAAGCTAGAATATCTAAGTTGGTTTTTGTACCTCTCTAATTCAATAAACGGTGACGCACGACTGCATCGTGCTAACATTCTATCCATTTCATGTAATTCAGATTCTATTGATAAAACACGAGTCTACTCACCAATCTTTTAAGAGTATTATGAAATATATAAAAAAAAATCAGATAATTAAGTAACATGAGTTAATTGAATTCTTTAACCTAATTCAATTCAGCAGAACAATGTGAAATACGTACAGCCTTTGCAGTTGAAACGTTACATTATTCAAGAACAATACAAAACTACAGTTATGAAATGAAATCATAAGCGATCTTGAATCTGATACGTATAAAGTAAGTATTAGATTGTTGATCGAGGGCAATACCAAAAAAAGACCGAAAAAGACTCGCCGGGGTCTACTAGATCAAGCAAAGTTCAAAACGTTTGTGGCTCAGTGAGTGTTAACAATAATTTCTCTGCAAACAAAAATGGAAGAAAGCCACATTACTTACGCTCGGTGTCGAGAGCGAATTTGGCTTCAAAGTAAAAAATAATAAAGTTAGCGGCGCAATGTTTTTTTCTGACACAAAGCGCTCAATAGTCGTTTTTTGGTTTGGTTTTTGCACATCTGTTCTGTTGGGAATAGATTCAGAGTGTACACATGGAACTTTCGATTGATGCCAGACACGACCCAAAAGGTGACCGATATTAGCTTTTAGCAATTGTGCCTCTTTTGAATTTCACTTTATTTATCAATTAAATCGTAATTTCAAGTGACTACGCCTAAATGACTTTACATTTAGCAAGAATCATTGAAAATTGATTTAAGTAACTTAGCAATTTAGGAGCCTTGTGCAAAATGTTTAACGACATTTCCCAATTACAACACTCTTTACCATTGACAAAAATTACATTTTCATTATTTTCTGTCGACGTAACAACAAATGTATTACAAAGAGGTTTTGCTGATTAGGTACTCTAAGTGGACAGAGCTATTGTTTACTAAGTGACCGACATATTTTTTGCAGTTATGCATTGAATTTGATCGTTTATTTGAAATATTGGTTTACTTTTTATAATGCCAAGGGCAAGGATTGTTTGAATATTCAACCATCCGTATCTTAAACGGATAACCGCAACCATGTTATCTAAAAATTTTCTTTGCTTGCATTATTATCAGATGGAACAGCTTTTATTTTTCAGTTCGTCAATGTTCATATTTTTTGTTCAAATTTTACATGATGGTCTTTTATGTAATTTTTTTTGTTAATATTATCGGTCGATATATTTATACTTACTGATACTTTTAAAAGCACTGTTACTCAGCAGCCGACCTTAAGAACTGACAGAAAGTCCAGTCCTCGTCCTTATACCGATAAAGGGCAGACAGTGAATATCCAGTCACTCACACTGAACACACCACTCTGAAAATCAAGTTAGCACTTCACGAAAGTCCTGCCACGGCGGGGTCCGTGTCTAAACCCGTTCTGGAGGATACCGAATTCCGGTTTTAGGAAAGGTCACATTAACGTTTATCGGGAAAAAAGTAGACAGTTCCACTTCAACAATGTTTGGGTTGAAAGGAAAGTCTTTAAAGAAAGTTTCGTGTGTAAACTTTTTTCGCGATGTCGGCGTTAGATGTCGCGGCGCCGCGCAGTACACGCGTCGCGGCCGGCGGCTCGGTGCAGACTAGTGCGGCTGTTCAATTTTAACCAGTGTGCAGTCGAAGCCTCTTCGTAGTCACACTGCGATTCGTGTGTGTGCTCAGCTTGCAGATTACTCTACCAATACACTAATGCGACCCGTTCCAGTTTTGAAAACAGTCTCCACTGCCACCCGTTCAAGCGGTTTTCTTTTAGATTTTACAGTGAATTACCGATGGAAATCAAACATATCGATTGGTCTATCAATGAAAGTGTATAATGTATACGAGGGCGAGATATCAGGTTCTGGAGCTTTGCTCATTTATTGTTATGGGCTTGCAGTCGGGTGCATAGTTTTATGAAATTGGCTTTTTGTTCGATACGTCTGGCCGGTCCTGATCCCAGAGGGAAGGTATTTTATTTAAAAGGGCGTCGAGTGTACTCAACAATAATGTAATTATCAGTAATTTACAATTTACTGTTAATTTATAATGATGTAATTTGTTGTTACTTATTTCTTTCTTTTTTAGTTAATAATTATCCTTTGTTGACATGCCGCCAGATATTTTAACATGAGTACATACATACGTTAATATGCATTAAACTTAATAGACGATGGTCCAAAAAGGTGGGATAGATCATGTAAATTATAATATGGGTAGAAGGGGACTAAATACAAGGATGTTTATAAATAGAGACTTTGTACAAAAGTCGATTGCTTGGGTACCTCTATCCCATTTGTGTTTTAACCGTGAAACAGTCTTATTTGCATAGCTGTGTTTCGGTTTGAAGGGTGGGATATGGCGTGAATGGAATGGAATGGCAACGCATGGGGGGTATCATGGGCGAAACAGTATACTCTGTTATGTCTATGGTACTGCCCATGTCTATAGGCGACGGTTACCACTTTCCATCAGGTGGGCCGTTAGCTTGTTTGTCATTCTAAGTTGTATAAAAAAAAACACATTATACACTTCGATCGAAATTGGTACTGTGCATTAGGTTCATCCTATTAGAGATATTAATTTGATAGTTGAATTCTGAAATCTCCATGTTAGTATGGAAAACTCAAAATACAATTCTTGTCACTTTGAGAAATATTATTAAACTGGTAAAAACACTCCCTTAAAAGGACATTATCTAATATATAAAATTCTCGTGTCACGGTGTTTGTTACCAAACTCCTCCGAAACGGCTTTACCGATTTTCATGAAATTTTGTGTGCATATTCGGTAGGTCTGAGAATCGGCCAACATCTATTTTTTATACCCCTCAATGTTAAGGGTGACCCACCCCTAAAATTTTTTTAATTATTTTTTTGACAATTTTTTTTGTTTTTATTTAAATGTGATTTAGCATTAAAAAATACATACAACTTTAAATTTTCATCGTTTTACGATCAATCCGTATTTAAATCGCGATTTTTATATTTCGCAATAAGTGGTAAAACAACGTTTACGGGGTCAGCTAGTAATATATAATATTTATAATTAATTTTACCCTGTATACTTAACAACAAATCTATAGTAATAAAGAATACTGAACTGAAGATCTCGCAGTCTCACGTAATATCTAAAATATGGTCCACCCAGAAGTTAATGCATGGTATTTACTAATAATCCAGTAACAAAATGAATGTATTTCGAAGCTCGCAATATATGAACAAGTATGAATAATTAATGGAAGATTTCATTAACATAACAATAGCAAACACAGACATACTAACAATTTCTCGCGGTTTCATCTATCCTTTTCTCTTTCTCTATCCACGTCCATAACTTATAATTTCTCGCCAATTCTAAATACCTACACTTGATTTTAAGATCTCCTAATAAATTGATACTGAGGCGAAAGGGATTGTTAGTAATGGAGACTGAGAATCCCATTGCTAGCAATATGCCCAAATAGGTCGACCTCCTCGCGGTTCTCCCTGGAAACCAATGTGAATAATTCTTGTTGAATTCATCATGATGGGCTAACTAGCCTGTTTTCATTCTCATCTATCACCCTTCACTGGTGCTCCGCCAGCGAATCCCGTTAGCGCAGGCGGGGTTACCATTCCATTTTCACCTATAAAAAAATAATGAATAAAATAAATGGATACTATAGTACTTTGCTTCAGTCCCTATTCTCAAGTCATTACGAAATGTTCCAATATTCGCACGCTCCCTTCTCCTTATTTCGCACGATTAACATTTGCCTGCTGATAGCCTGGTATTTATGGTTAACTTAATAGAGACATAAATAAACTTCACTTTACACTGAAGTCGACATGCGACCCTAACATTAAGTCATTATAACCAGAACGGACAACTAGCGCCGCCTGCCGGCATTATGCATCAATAATTTTACATTTTATTCGACAAACAATTTGACAGTACGTAAGAAATTGATCTACTGCTACTAACATAGGAATTCCCTGTCAATTACAATAGGAATCATAAAAATTAAAGCAAAATTAACGAAGGTATCGTGTAACATATACTCTAAAAAAGTGAACACAGTCAAGTTTCTGTGAATTTTGTTTTATGTGAATTAGAAAATTATTGTAGATAATTCATTTTTACATACACGTAATGTTTAGTATTAGTCACCCACTTAATTACGATATATTTTGCAAATAACTTAAATAAATAGAAAAAGAATGAACAAGTCATGATGAAATATTTTTTATAAGAGTCCTATAGATACTAAATCGACACTTAGAAAATGCTAAATACAAGTAACTGCAATTTCTGTAAACATAATTGTCGTTTTGCTAATTAACTTGCGACACCACACACGGGTACGCACACCGCCGAGCATTATGTAACTTGTACGATAGGGCAACCAGATAAAAGCTTGTTATTTCCTGGATATATTCTGAAGAGATTCGATTGAAGTTGAAAATTAAATTCCGACTACAACTGATGGTATAACAATTTTAAATTCGTTTTTTTTTTTCTATATTTAATTTTATGTAAGTTATTATCAAAAAAATTGTAACATTGCCAATTTCTAATACTTACGTTTATAGTCCACCACTGGCTACAATCCGAATTCCTTTAAGTCTGTAAAATTTTAAGACTTTTCCGAATTTCCCAACTGTCTGGCAACCCTAAGTGACGACAACGTGCTCAAAGGTTGTTCGTTGTTAAACAATCGCTCGTTCGTTCTCAGGTAATCGCGTTCGCGTGTTAATTGCTGAAAGCACATCATTACACATTACCGTGGCGTTCAGTTAGTTTGGAACATTTTAATTTTTTAATAGTCCATGGCTGTTTATTTGTCTAAGTAAATTTTGATAACCACTCATTGAATGATATCGAACTTTACTTTGTATAACCACGTTGTAATTTTTTTATTACAAATTTTTTTTATAAAAGATTTTAAGAACTTTTTTATTGACTCCTTTTTGAAATATTTGAATTAGGCAAAAACTTCTCGAAGAAATCAACTACGAGTGAGATGAACTTAATGATCGAAGGATGGACAACAGCGTTCCTCTTAAAACATCACCAAAGCCTAACTGTGATTGCCATATCGCCTGACAAGTGTCGCAACTACTGGTAAAACCTTATGGGGGAGGCCCATAATCAACAGTACAGCAAACATAAAAAAATTACAATATAAAGTCTTCAAATGTGGGCAAAGAGTATAGTGTCCCTAATATTTCGTTATTATGCACAACATTATCGATATTATCATGTACTTTAATACTAGAACAATACTCAGGGATCACACTATTGTTCGCCATCACATTTAGCCGTGTGTCTCGCACAGTGTAAGAACAAACTAATTGCCTTGAGGTTATCTTCCAAAGCAATTAGGCACCGAGTTCCTTATTGTGCAAACATAAAATATTTGCATCTCTCTGCCATTTTGATTTTATTGTATTACATTTGTGTCAATTTAATAGGCCATTCCATTGGATCGATGTAATGTTTTACAGATTTTACCAAATGGCATAGGAAATGCCACTTCAAATTTATATAATTGTAGCAAATATGAAAAACGAAACTACTCCTTTGTGACATTTTAGATGATTTTCACGAGCGCATAGGAAAGTCTCTTAAGAATAAGCAGCGTTCTCTAAAAACAAGGAAGCTCATTAAATTCTTTGGTAATCAGGTACTATATACATATTTATAAAATTAAAATAAAAGTATTATTTAAGTTATAACTTGTATTAATAAAATGTGCCACTAAAAGAAATGCTAATTGCCAACTTTTAATTCTTTTGCAGTTATCTAACTGCAAAAGAGTTAAAAGAGTTAAAACTACCTGTTTTTCATCTCAACTCGAAATCTTGTCTAAAATTGAAATTTTAGGAAAAAAAGAAAAACGTCTTCTCTACAACTAATCTTGTCTTTTTTTAATTAGATTTTTAGCCCCTAACTGAAAACCGAGTTAGAAACACAGCTGCTACACAGCAAATTGATAGAACAGTGTTCTGGATAACCAAGTCAGGTGAGCCTAATTGCTAAGGTAAATTTTGTGTGACCCTATATTTACTTGTTTAGGTTTTACCAGTGTGACTATTGGGAAAACCTAAATAACTTTCCTATCACAGTTCCGAGAAATGATCTTGTAGTTGCGGTGGACTATCGACCCAAGTCACTGGCAATAATAACCTTCTATCTCTTGCAATCACATTTATATGATTATTAATATAATTCTTAATTTTTTTTTTATTTTCTTTAAAAGGTATTCACAACAGGTTACAAACAAAAACATTATAAACATTTATATAAAAATAATAGTATGAACTAGATTGAGACCCAGACAAGTGTACACACAGCATGGTTAAAGCAGTTGGCAAACAATGTTAAATTATAAATTATATAAAGAAAGCATATGAATGTAGTAAATAACAATGAAGTACATGCAAATAATAAATAATAAAAAAATGGGCATGTGAAAGAGATTTGATGGCTGATTGTAAAATGTTTTTGAAGGCATTCAGACATGAGTAAAAGATATCAATTTGAGGACATTTAGCAGAAATTTCAATAAAAATATGACATACGAATGAGTGGATTATAATACGACGTATTATTCTTATAAACGCAGAGTGCAAA